ACTGGCTAAGTCAACTCCACATCAGTTAGTGGAAATCCTGATTCCCAAAAACATTAGTTGAAAAATTGCCGGATAAATCTCTATGCGCAGCAAAATTATTAGAAAAATAACAACCTAGTCACTAATGAAAAAATGAAGACATTCATTCATTTGAATATTCTCATAGGAACCCAGCCAATTTTTAGTTATAGGGAGTACTGGAGATTCTTATTTACATGACAACAGCTGTAACCTAATGTCTGTCAAACGATTTGGATGGATGTTACCAAATCTGCACCTAAGATGCTAAAACGAGGAGCAGAGAACTTTGACAAGCTCTTCAAAGTACAATCATTTATCATGAAGATTGCTGACAAGTATAAGAAAAAGGTTAAAAACATTAGAAAGGTTTGCTCACTAAATAAAATCATTGCTATTAATAATACAATGATAAAGTTCAAAGGTAGATCATCAATCAAATACTTATGCAAAAATACATCATAGATTTGGATCAGGATAGATTATACTGCATATATGCATCAATTTGAAATGTGCACTAGGAAGAAAAATGCAGTAGTGGCGTGATAAATAGGTGAAACGATTGTGAAGTGCTTCACTTAAGACTTACACAATAGGGAACACAGATTAGATTGTGAAAATTGTGTACAAGTCCAACACACTTTCAATTTATGAAAGGTAAAGAGACATGCTTGTAAGACAGTAAACCTATCATGAGAAAACTTACCCTTATTGAAAAGTGACGAAAACATGAAACGAGGTGATTACGACTGGGCAACAACTAATACCGGCCTGAGTGTGTGAAAAGACATGCGCAGCATTCATCGCCTTTCCGATTATCTTAACTCATGTGACATAACAGAGGTTGTGAGAGCAGAACAATCTGGGTCGCAAATGAATGCTCTTTGCCCTAGAGATTTGTCATATTACAACAGCCGCATGAATTTTATGGACAAGTTACACCACATAAATGGTACGTATGAAATTAACAAAAAAGATGAGAAATGGTGGCATCGGATCGTTTGGAATTTTGTTGATGCAAGTATTGCAAATACTTTTGCCATCCATTTGGAACTAAAGGTACCCAAAATAAGCAAGAAAGATTTACGAAAGGCAGCAAAAGTCAACCTCTGCAGTACAGCTAAAGAGAAAAGCCCTATGTGCCAAACGTTCATCTTCAGAGCTCAACACATCAACCAGAAAGGTCTATAAGATGTGCATCCTGCAGCACAAAAATAGACGAAGGACGCAGACATGCAAAGTTCCCCTCTGGCTTTGGAAAAGAAAAACCTGTTACTTGGACTATGTTGAAATGTGGTGAGACAGATAACGACCCCCGATAATCGGACATGATAATAGAAACATTTAAAGTTTTTTCACAATGTCAAATTGCACAGTGGCATGGTGCCAAAAAACCACGTCAGTTTTAAGTACCTTAAAAATTTGAGTCGTGTGCTTCAAGGATGTATAGCGAAAACTAACGTAGGGCGTTATTCGCAGCTTATCGAAACTTGCAAACTGTTGAGAATATCGCATTTAGTTTGCCATTATAAGGTATAGCACCGCCGGTTTGCTGCGTTTGGCTTGTTTGTTTTTACTTTTGCCCCATTCTTCGCCCTAGAAAGCTCTTTACGATGGCAGTCCAATTCGTTCGGTCGCCCCCCCCCCAAGGTCACTCACTGATTTAGTGTATGAATGGCATACTGCGTATCTTGTGCATGCTGAAAGCATTGCTTTATCTAATTGCATTATATTTCGCTAAACATAGACAATTTTGTTTAGTCTTATGATTTTTCGCCTTTGTTACTGCACCCATTTGTTTTATTTGTTCCCTTTTAACCTAATTCTCCTGCTCTATTTACACATTTATAGGGAGATGGGCTTGGCTGCTTTGGCCATCTGGAGGAAGAAAATGAAAACGCGCTTCTGTAAGCTGGATCGTGGTTGGAAAACGTAAACCCACACAGGAGACAAACTGCAACATAGCACTCACATTGCAGGCGCGGTCACCTGCCCGTCTGAAGCCCCGCAGTTACAAAACACCTGGCAAAGAACACCTGAAAACCTCATGCATGAGCATGGCGCTGCGGTACATTTTGATCTGGCCCTCTCGAGTTCAGTCTCTCGCAGACGAGAATATACACTGCTTCTTCTTCTTCTGCTTCTAACAACTTCTCTGGGCATGAAAGAATTAAGTACTACTGCATATGCTTCTACCGAGTGTAGTCGTGATGCTGCCGATGAAAGTTTCTGCCAGGCGATAACAATTTCAGTTGCTCAAGCCGCAGGGTAGTCTGAGCTTATCAGAATCTCAGCTAGGAGGCAAGTTTAGGCAAATTCCAGGCGCACGGACAATTGTTAACGTTTAATGTAACTGTAATGCCAGCATAGAATGCATGACAATACGGCTATCAAGCAAGTGGAAAGCAAGAGGCCCGGTTAAATCATATTGTGGTGGGCCAAAGGCAGGTAGTACTGTATCGAGAATTAGTATGGAAGTAACATGAAAACCAGACGATAACGGGCCAATAGTGGACTATCCAAGCGCCCCAACAGAAGTAATACTCTTGGGAGCCGCAGATGTATGTGAACTAGGTATAGGTACAGAAGCACAGCGCGCGACGCGTAACCTCTAGGAGAGAGTTCGAAGATGAGTGGAACGGTTGGTATTCAAAGCTGATGTATAGATGGTATTTGTAACAATAAACAGAACTTCTGAAGAGCTCAGCAGACCTACTTGCGTATTCATATTCCCTATAATAATTATGATTTCTGAACTGGTAATGGCATCACCAATACGCCGGTACGCAATATCGAAGCTTCGCTGCCGCGCAACCCCCACCGGTTGCACGTGGGCTAAGGATACTGCGAAGGTCGCCATGCCCCTACACAGGCTGGAACCCGCGACGTCAGTTTACAAGACAAGCTTCTTACCTTTACGCTACGGGCCGGACTGAACTAATAACAATGCATTTTAGCGCGTTCAGTTGATGGCAGAAAGCGTCCTTTGCAACATCAGAGCTGCAATCGGTGGGGGCATAAGCGGGAACACCCAACAAACAGCGTCTTATAATAGTTCGTGAATCAACCTTGGTAGACTTCGTCAAACGGGCTGCACACAAACGGCTGTTGACGAGAATCAAACCAACAAACAATTACTCAGTCTTGGAGCTGAGAACAATGCCAACCACAGCTTGAACAACGGTTATCGTATCAGCATCTCCAGATGCATGCAATCGCGCGCAGTGATTTCAACAACCCCATGAGGGTCATTGATCCCAGTATCGGACACACAAGACACGACAATACCCAGCGTGTCTAAGCTGTGTGCGAGTGCAGCTTGTTGGCCTGTCTTAGAGTGCGAACGTTGAACGCTGCCAGGGAAACGGGACAGTGTGGCCTTATAAGGAGATGTCGGCGACTGGTGTTCAGTGGGTGGTGCGGGAAGATAGCTGTAAATGTTATGGCTCCGGTGGCATTGCGGCTGAAGACAATTAAGCTGGGAATTAGAGAAGGAAGGCTAGTAATGGGGATCGAGAGAGGAGTGAGAAACAGGTGGAAAGGAAAGAAGGGACGCGTCAACAGTAAGATGTTTTCGCTTATCTGTTCTGCTGTATGCAGCAGATAGGGCAACCCTTGATAAGCTGCGCGACGGCAGATGAAGGATATGGTTGAAGTTGGAAGAAGTGATGATGGCAGCACGTGGGCTGAGATAGTATCAGGGTGCTCAGAGCTAGACAGGAGAAAAATTAGAGTTCTCAATCAAAGCCTTTGGCTCAAAAGCCAGTCCGCAAGGCAGTGGATGTGGCAACGATACGGTTTCCCAGAAATAGACGCCATCCAAGTTCAAACCCATAACCTGGAGCACAGGGAGACTGAGTTACTATGGCTTCTAACCATCGACCAACCTCGTAGGGGTGTAGCTCTTAAGTGACCCGAGGGCCCCACCTAGTATAACTCAACGGGTCGACGAAGTATGTAAATCGTCACACAACGTTAAAGTCCAACCTCGTTGCAACAGTAGATAAATGGGGTGAAACGCACAGAAACATGAAACGAAAGGTAGGCTGTGGGGAAAACGCGACCAAAACGAATCAGGTAGCCAAGTTCACGGCTCGGTGAAACGGATAGAATTCAGGAGCGTCAGTGAATCCAGCTGTACTATGAAGTATCAGATTGTCGGTAACTGAAGAAGACGAGAAATACTAAGTTTCTCAGTTAATCTCCCCGCACATTTCTGCCGAGTCGTCATTTTGCCACCAGCGAAAGGGTAAAGGGAACATATGAATAAGCTTGGGTAGTCGGTCAGAGTTCGAAAAATGCTCCAGTGTGGTAACGCAGCATCACTTTTAAACATCAACGTAAGTATTGCTCAGCAAGTACTGGTGGTCAAATACGATAACATATTTAATATCTTTGATGCTGAGCAGCCATAGTTCCTGTCCATGACGGTTTATTGCTGGTATTGCTGGTCGTTGTCGAAAATGATCGTGGGAGTTACACAGACAAGTGTATGATGTTTCTAAGCGAAGCGTTCCATCCACGCTCCATTTTAGATAAACAAAACTACGTTACCTGTCATTTGCGAGATATTACTCATGCCTATACTGGTGTCACGTTTACGTTCCCTGATGTTTGTAAATGTGATCCGAATCAAAGAGACACAAAGTATTAAAGCAAACCAGTATGCGCAATATTGATAGCCATGCATATCGATGAACAAACATTGCTCAATGCGTAACGGTCAAATGTAGGTGCAGAACAATTCATATAAACTGGTGGACTTCGTCGTTGAGCGAAGATCTACACAACGCGCGACAACGTCAATGTGAAACCGAGCTAGGTCGCAGACTGCTTATAGCTTATATCAGCGAATTGTTTAAATCAGGAGGGTGGTAAGCATACTGAGTAAAAGTTGAATACTTCAAGAAATTTTTCGAAGGAGGGTTAAAAATATCGAGGAGTGTAGGCAACGGAGAAATAAGGGACAAAATTCAACTCACTTTAATCTTGGCATCCCAGAGCAAGCGGCAACACTGCAGTCGCTGAATACTCAAACCCTTGTGCGCACCAGCCACCATGACCTCTGTCTCCGTTGGGCGTGAGGATCTAAAGGACGATCCGTTAGTAACCAGAGCTTCACTGATGGCAAGTAGGCGCTCCACGCCGAAGCTTACTCCAACACAAGGAACACGCGTACCTGAGGGATCGAACATTCCAACCAGGTTGTCATAGCGACCACCGCCTGCAACGCTACCGACGGCCAATGAATCACCGGGGGTAAGGGTCTCTTGTTCTTCTTCCGAGGTCTTCTGTTTGCCTTTAGCGGTCCTTTTCTTTGAAGATTTTGGATTCTTCGGAGAAGCTTTATCAGTGCCATTCTGGACAGTTGGTGTCTCCGAAACGGACGCACATTTAGGCTCAAATGTGAAACCTAGGGAAGCAGTCAAATTAAGAAACATATGGGTGGAACAACACGACATATTTTGTAGACAACGGTCAAATGAGTATCGAGAGAAGAGTGGAGAACAAACCAGTTTGTATGATAGATTTGGTTTCATCAAATGAAGCACAAATGCAACGGTGAACATCAAATGTGATAATCTTGAAATGGAATTAGTGATGGAAAAATTCAATACAGCCAAATGGATGAAAATTGTTGTACTACTGCCTTACCTCACCTATGATACTGCGACCGTCTGGACTGCTCGTCACAAGCTCAGCCAACCGAAGGAATACCAAAGGACAGAACCCGGTAGATAGACAGAGTATATTTACAGGATAGGTCAGCTCTATTTATTGGTAACCGAAACATGCTAATTTCGAAGGTCAAGGTCACCAACTCTTCTGCGTTTGCTTTTAAGCCAGTGTGAGTGAATTGCGTTCCACGGGTTTACCATAGTGAGGGAATAGTTCGATTCCATTGACGCGGGCTTGTATTTGCTGGCTGATCAATTCGCACTCGATTCCCAAATTCGGCGGAAAAGTCAAAGGTCGTACCATGCCTGTGTTTATGACTTTTGCACGTAACAGACAGTGTACGCGCTCCGCTCACTTCATTAAACCCCTTTGAATTGATTGCTCTTACATATTTTCCACACCTGGGCTTGATCGTGGCTTTTTACCCTGGGGACCACTTGTAACCAACGACGTTGCATTCTTCTTCGACTTGGTCTACATGGCTGTGTTCTGCTTTGGGTATCAGTTTTGTTTTCCAAACCAAATGTATCTAGTAGTATGTCCTACTGCAGTGCTGCTGTTGCTTGAGATTTTTGAGTGTTTTCATGAAGCGATCGAGGATGATTGACGTGTATGGTCTACTTGTCCTTTGCGACCATTATCTCAAAAATAACCTTACCCCTCTTGCCAATAACCGTTCCGTTAGACCAACTTCCCGGGTCTGGAAGTTTCGTGCATACATTACATTGACAATCTTGAACCTACGAAGCCTGTTAGCCTGCTCCTCTCTAGTTTGTTCGTTGCGTTTTCCAACATTTTCGGGGATTAAGCTATCAAATATCGTTCTAATTCTTCGTCAAAATAGACATTCAGCAGGAGATTTGCCTTCCGGTGTGTTTGGACTCGGTGTTTCGACACATCCACAGAAACGGCTGAATTGCATCTCGTGACACCCTCGTTCCTCCCGCTTTGAGAAGGGCACGTTTACAGGTATCTACAAACCGTTCGGCCTGTGGATGGTACGGCGGCGAAAACTTGTGCTGGATTCTGTTTTGCATGCAAAATGCTTGAAACAGCGTTGATGTGAAGTGTGCTCCGTTGTCCGTAATCAGCATCTTGGGCATGTCAAAATACTGGAACAGTTTGTTCAGCTCGTTGATAGTGTGCTGGGCGGTGGGATTTTGCACCGGAATCACGTCGGGTCAAATAAGATTGACCGTTGATTGGTCCCGCATAATCTAAGTGGACTAGCTGCAAGAGTTTCTCCGACTCGGGCCAAGGTTGGCAGGGACATTTTGGAGGAGCCTTTGCCTTTTACCGACAAGATTCACGACTTCGGTTAAACTGTTCGATTTCTGAATCCATTTGAGGCCAATAGACAAAACTGCGTGCCAGTGCCTTCACGCGGCTGTTTCCCGGATGTCCTGAATGAAACTGCTGTAGGATCCGCTTCCGCAACTTCCTTGGTACCACGACTCGGTCTCCAAACAATAGACAATCGTCAATGACCGAAAGAGAACCGCGTCGATTGAAGAAAGGTCGTAACTCAGACAAAATTGACATTAGACCAACTGAACTGCACAAACCCCATCATCGTCAGCAAGGTCTCGTCTCTGCACGAATCGTGTCCGAAGTTACTGGCAACTCCTTACACTGTCAACCAGGATCCGCTGAACTTCTGACTTGAATTTGACAGACGCATCTGTCAAATTCACGCAGTCAACATTTTCCTTCGAGTAGATGCTGATGAGGCGAGATAGAGCGGCGTCAGCTTGGCCCTGTTGCATAGATCGGTATTGTATACTGAAATCGTAAGCCAGCAGTACCGTTGCCCATCTCTGTAACCGACTTGCTGTCAAAACAGGAATACCCTACTTTTATCCAAATATCGAGAGTAAAGGTTTGTGGTCCGTGATCAATTTGAAATGTCTACCATATAGCATTTTGTGAAACTGTTTCACTGCGAAAACAATCGCCAGCGCTTCCTTCTCAAACTGGCTGTAATTTTTCTCCGCCACTGTCAGCGACCGTGCTGCTGGAAACACGTGGGAAATGACAGCACCTACCCTATAAGTGGAGGCGTCCGAAGCAACAACAATCTCCAAGTTTGGGTTGAAGTGAATCAAGAGTAAATCAGAAGTAAGCGATGCCTTAACTGTAGCAAAGAATTGTAAGCACTGCTCATGCATTGCAAAAGCCAGAGCTACCTTCTTGAGCCTGCGGCATCTTTGGCGACAGAAGGGAGTTTCCCTCCGTCTGAAAGGCCGTGTATACAAGGCCACAGTGAAGGCCGTTCTGCTCTATGGCAGTGAGACTTGGCCCCTTCGGTCTGAAGACCTGAGGCGCCTTCAAGTCTTTGATCATCGTTGTCTGCGAAGCATTGCTGGTGTCGGATGGCACCAGCGTGTCCGCAACGATGATGTGCGTAGGCGAGTACTAGGTAGTGATAATCATGCTAGCTCCCTAGAACAACCGATAGCACTGAATCAATTGCGTTGGCTCGGGCACTTGCTACGTATGTCTGGTCAACACTTACCTAAGAGGGCTTTGTTTCGTCTGCCAGGTGTAGGGTGGCGAAAGGCTCGAGGTGGACAGAATTTGACTTGACAGCGGGAAATGAAGTCACTGACAACCACACTGGGTGCCGTTGGTGCGTCTCGCTTTCCGGGCTGGAGTCCACATGATTCGCCTTGTGCATGGATCAAGAGTTTACAGGACATGGCTCGCAGTAGACACCAGTGGCGCGTCTGCTGTCGTCTCCTAATCGGATTGCCTGTTTAAAGTGTGTTTGGTGCTGAGTTATCTGCGGGGTAGTGGCTGATTATCACGTGTGGCAGTGAAAGCCACAAGGAAGCTGTCTCGCCGATGCCGCCTTATCTTTGTACTATAGCCAGCTGTTTGTGAGGATATGTTGTCTACACAAGGTGTAGGCGCCTTGACCCTGAATGTTTGCTTAGGGTATTAAGGTTTTCAAGTAAGTCCCCCCTTCTCTCCCTTTTCTTATTCTTTATTTCATAGGTCCTCATGGTTGTATGACAGCGAAGCATCAGTTTAAATGGCTGATGTACTGCTGTTGATGATGATGATGATGAAGCACTCCCTTGTTAATCGCCATGCTTTCCCTCTCATCAGTAACTCGTTCAGAGGACCTCATGTCTGATGTAGGCTTGGCAGGAAGGCACTATAATGGCTTACAAGACCGAGAAATGAACAAAGTTCGGCAACAATTCTTGGTGGTGGCATATGCTTGACGAATTCTAGATCAGCGGGATGTAAACGCCGGCCAATGTTTGTCAATGAGGAAGCCGAGAAACTTGACACTCCTCATCAGAAAATTGCATCTTTCCACTCGTAACGGGAAACCAGCTTCTTCTAGACGAGACATCGCTTTCTCTAACATGGTCAGCAAAGTTTGTGGGTCAGACCACATAATCAATGCGTCATCCAGGTATACCGCGACTCAAGAGATATCGTACAGTAGCGTATCTATGAGCATCTGGGACGAAAAGACAACAATCACAATTAAAACCCTTTATTCAGTAGTAATATCTATGATTTGGTGAAAAATGGCGGGAGCTATTTCCACTCAGAATGGCAACCGATTGCACTGAGAAAGTCCAAGATGTGTGTTGACCGTCAGTAATGTTTTGCAGTTCTCGGCTACTGGAATTTGTAGCTAAACATCAGCTAGATCAAGCTTCGCAAACCATTTACCAACGTCAAGCTTGGTGAAGAAATCTTTAGGAATAGACAAAGGATACTGGTGATTCTCCAATATGGAATCTAAGCCGGCCAAAATAGGTACCCTGCCGTTTCCTTTCTTCACCACAACGATGGGTGACGCCCATTCTGAGTAATGTGCGCGCTCGATTATGCCTTCTGACTGCAGCCGATTTAACTCAGATTCCACTATTGGTTGGGTTGCGTACGGCACTGCAAGTTTTGGCTTAAAAACTGGTCTGGCGCCTGGTTTGAGATTCAGCTCAGCTCTGACTATCCGGCAGCATCTAAAACCGAGTTGAAACAAACTTCCGTGGCGTCGATTTAGTTCTTCAATTTGACTGTAAAGTTCGAGGTTCATATTCGGCGTCTGTACGGGTTGCTCGACTTGTAATTTCTGGCATATACTGTTAACTGACTGGTCAAGTAAATTCAACTCCTCCATCCAGTCGACACCCAGCAAATTCAATCCAGGCTGATCTGTCACAAAGCAGATTGTACAAATATGCTGATCGCGGAAACTAACCTAACAATGCAACTCTCCGAGTAATTTCAAGATACCTCGGATGCGTTCCGTGCTGTGTGGACAAGCAGTGGTCGTCCAAGTATACACCATGTGTCTCGACAAATCAAGGTGATGTCTGACGTAGTATCCAGCCTTAGCCTAACTTCTTTATCATTGATCTTTAATATTGTAAACTTACGCCTGCTGACATCATCAACCTTGAAAGTTGTCGTCGCAGTTTTGCTCTCGTCGTGACATCGGAAACGCACCTGGATTCGACGCCGTTTTCCGCTCACTGTTGGTCGCTTCGCAAGACAACACGACTCTGTGTCCTCGCTTACCATAGCGATTGCAAATGTGATTCAGGAACGGGCAGTTTCGACCAAAATGCCGTTCCGTGCAAACCCAGCAAGCAGAAGGGGTTTAGAAGTTGCTGAACTCACACGAACCGATTCTCTCTGAGAAATTCGACAAACTCTGTAGATGATATCCTGGCTACTCTGGATAGGTGACTGTTAGATCATGGCAGCATCATGCTTCAAGTTCATCAACTTTTGGCATTCGTTCGGCACTTCCTGCAGTGTGACGTCGGGATTTTGTTTAATTCTACTGTACTCGTGTTCGGACATCAACATTTTTGGTCGCCTGAAGACCACACACACATAAATAAGGCATCTGTACTGATCACCTGTCATTTTGTGAGACAGCGACCGTCTACACTCATGATTTATGCGACTCGAGTAAGTAACCCAGTCTTCATCCTCTCGCTTGGTCATGGTTAGGCACCTGTATCGAATACTGAATAGTGACGACTGCTATCTAAATATCTGCGACAAGGCAGCAATCGATTCTTCAAATGTTAAATTAGTCCTCTTCTTCTTCAGTAAGATGAAATCCATGAACTGTTCATGCTCCTCTGCGTCCAATTTCCGCAGCATGAGAAATCATTTGTCCTCTGAGGCTCCGGCAAAATCAAGACGAAAGAAGTCCTCCCATTTATGGAACTACAATACAAGGGTAATACCTGCCTCGGCATTGTAACGGAACTCACAAACTTGCTGGGTCAAGGTTTCTGTTGTGGGGCCACTTTCACTTGCCCCTGTTACCGAGCCTGCTTGCAGTGACAAATTCTTGGTCAGGGTTTCGATCAGCCTGGCCTGCGCTTTCTCAAACTGCGCTTGCTGTTGTTGCAACAGAGCCTGCAATGGTGCAAAACCGACTGATATCTTTGGGTTCTTCTGACTCCCATCGCCACTGTTGTACTGCTGCCTTACATCGCCTGTGATACTGCGACCGTCTGACTGCTCAGTCACACGCTCAGCCAACCGAAGGAATACCAAAGGACAAAACTCGGCAGATAACGAGAGTATACCTACAGGATAGGTCGGCTCTATTTACTGATAACCGAAACATGTTAATTTTGAAGATCAAGGTCACCCACTCTTCTGAGCCTGGTTTTCAGTCAGTGTGAGTGAATTGCGTTCCATGGGTTTACCATATTGACGGAATAGTTCGATACCAATGACGCGGACTTGTATTTGCTGGCCGATCAATTCGCACTCGATTCCCAAATTCGGCGGCAAGGTCAAAGGTCGTACCACGCCCATGCTGTTGACTTTTATATGTAACGGACAGCTTGCGTGCTCCACTTACGTCTCTATTAAAAATAACGACATGTGAGGATTGGCCACTGATTAGCAACTATACACAAGGAGAGGATAAACATCAAGTCTAGAGCTGAAATTAGTTTATATATTTTGTGAGTTATGTGATTACATGTAAGGCGACACACGCTGGTACGCGGTACCGATGCTTGGCCACTGTGCGACCACTAACGGTCGCACGTTAATTAATGATACTGTAAGGATCGCCCGCTCCCTACGCAGGCTCGAACCTACGCTCTCAGATCACAAGGCAGGCTTGTGATCTTTAAGGCTATGGGCCAGCTAGCAGACGATACATCTAATTGAAAACGAATTGAAATTCATAATAGTGGCAAAATGGTATCGGCAGTACGCTGGTACACAGTACGGACGCTACGGTACTATGCAACCAGCACCAGGTGTGAGTGCGTTAAGGGTACTGCGAGAGTCGTCTGGCTCCCTGCGCAGGCTAGAACCCGCCACCTCCTCTTTACGAGGCAGGCGTGAAATCCTTTCGGTCACGGGCCGGAAAATGTGGCAATCTAACTAAGACGGCGTACCGATAGAGGCACTAACAAGGAAGGTGCATGTACTAGTTTGCTCATCAATGTGGACTTACCAGATAGCACAGCCTCATAGATAACTCCAGTGTAATAATCCAAACCACGTGCCAAGCTAAGATCAAAGCGCACATGTTCAGACAAACCTAGCGCATCGCAATAGGTAAACAGCAGCCGGAGATCCGCCAAAGCTGTACGAGCAGTCTCTTGTTCCATTAGACGCACGTCCTGTTCAAGAAGGTCCACCAAATCCGTCTTGCCAGCAAGCTGTACATAAGACCCAATTTTATCCACAGTAGTTTTGGACAATCCTTTTTCTTCACACAGTTCACGTGCCACTTCAGACCAAGGGACCTGTGCAAAGGACAAGATGGTGGACGGGCCATTGGAGCAGCAGTAAATCAGTGCTGATGTACTGGTGCCTCAATGTCATGCAACCATAAATACTCCAATGGCAAGTGAGACCTAAAGGTAAAAAAAACATTCTGGATCAGTGTGTCTAATTTACTCAGGCATATACAGTGGGACCTTTTCTTTCTCACGGATGATGCACAAGTTGTAGCTGATGCTCCATACAACGACATCAATCTCTGTCTCGACGTACTAGCTCCTACCAAACAAAGACATTATCCCTCAGACCACTGTGACAGCCTTGGCTGGCGTTGGTGTAGCGCTAAGTAGCAAAGCCGAGGCAGCACTGCTATACTGGTTCACGATTAATAGCCGACTGTGTGCAGTCCAGCTTAAGGGATCATGCAAGATAAACATATGTCGTGAGGAGAGAGGTAACTAGTTTGCGATCTCAGCTTACACTTCAAATGACTGCAGTTCCGACTCCGTCAAGGACGATTTCTACCATGAACTTCATCAGCACTTGAGCAGAGTCTGCAAATCCGACATTGTTGTCCTTGCTGGGAATCTCAACGCACGGGTCGGTCGTCTATTGTCATGCGAAAGTCACCTCGGTGGTCACCATGCGCTCGATGAGAGCCGCTTAGATAATGGAGAGAGACTCCTCATACTGTGCGAAGGTAATCACCTTTTGCTCTCGAGAAGTAACTTTCGGCATCCTAGGAGACGTTCCGCCACTTGGACACCTTCTGCGTCTCCATCATGGTCTCAGACTGATCATATCGCAATAAGTTTCAGATGGAGGGGTAGTGTAAAGAATTTCAGATCCATCTGGTCCACTTTTCTTGACTCAGACCATGATCTTGTCTGTGTGAACATCTGCATGAGTTTCGGAGGGTCCCCGAAAACGAAGCGCCGTAAGATAGACACAAAATAAACTATCTACTGTTTCGGTTCAGCAGAGCTAACAAGCTTCCCTGGCTAGTGCACTCGGCTGCAACCCACCGCAAGATATTGATGAACACTGGACGAGCATGCGAAGGACCATGATCTCTTCCGGAGAGCAAATCTGTGGTCATACTCAACACTCTATGAAGGCCTGGATCACCACGCGCTCTTTGGATTTATTTGACAACCGCAGAAATATCACTGCGGAGTCTGATCATGATGAAGTGCACCGTTCTGTCAGTCGGCAGCTCAAACAAAACCTATGTAGTGACCGTGAAGCCTGGCGGTCCCAGCGTGCTTCGGAAATGGAGGCCGCTGCCCTATCTAGTAATACTCGCAAACTCTTCCAGATCATTCGATTCAGTGGCCACAGAAAGTCTGGTGTCAGTGAGACTATATACAAAGTGGATGGCTTGCCGATTGACAACTTACAGAGACGCTTGGACCGATGAGCCGAAGATTTTCATTCCCAGTTGAATTGGTCCTCACCGTCCACTTATATCCCCTGCGAACCCTGCTGCCCGCCTTGGGTCGTCACATTTGATCCAGCCAGCGAAGTGGAAGTTTGTCTTGCGATTCGACACCTAAGACGATTCAAGGCTGCCGGCTCAGACGGACCTCCTTCGGAACTGTTCAAATACGAAGATTCAGTTATCAATAGCCAGCTAACATTGTTCTCCAAAATCTGGCATGAAGAAAAGGTGTTTTCTTCCTGGGGCGAGTAAGTTATTGTCCCGGTTTTTAAGAAGGGTGCTCGCACTTCGTGTACCAATCACCGGAAGATTGGTCTCATTTCGGTTGCCTACAAGCTATTGGTATCCATTCTACTCCGTAGACTATCCCCCATTCACGAATCGCAGTACCGGGAAGAACAACCTGACTGCCGACCTCACCGCCGGTGTGTGGATCAGATATTCACACTCCATGAAATCCTAGAACACCTCCACCTGTACCAGAGGCCTATCATCGTTGCATTCCTGGACATCGGTGCCGAATTCGATTCGGTTGATCGACCTGCACTATGGCGTTGTTTGCTAAGGAACGGTGTCCCAAAAAAGTACACTGTCATCCTACGCGCAGTGTATTTCCACATCTGTGGCAGAGTGAGGGCGTAGGGTAGGCTTTCATCTTCCTTCGCTGTTAACAGCGGTGTACGACAAGGCTGCCCTATGTCCTCATTCCCCTTCAAGTTTGCGACTGAAGACATCTTGTCGAGAGCTCTAGACGGTTGCCAAAAGTTCGGTATACAGCTTTTACCGGGCAAGCGAGCAACCGACTTAGGGGTCGGCTAATACAGGGAGTTACGAGTTTGGACAAAATGGTGATGTTTCAAAGTTATACTGTCGGTTTATTTATTGACGGGCTTACATTTGGTAATATACGGTGACTTTGCAATCTTGGCGCAACACCACAATATGGCCACATCATTGAAGCTGGCTTATCACATGAAACAAATCACTGGTGAAAAACAGATTCTCGAGAGTCCATTCAATAGCCGTTAACTGAGCAGTCTTTTAAACCTCAGAACTATCAAGCATATACAAGGCATAATCTCACTCGTAGCATCAGAGCCTAGTCAGCTTGGCGTAAAGTTCAATCAGTATATTTGCGCCGCCCTCAACCTGGATACTGAACCCATATACATGGCCTTGCAACCAGTCACGGTCGATCAGACCAACGGTATTAATGGTGACCTCCACGACATACATAAACCTATCAGGTGTACGAAATCATGATATTTCGAGGGTGAGACAATGTCCTCCGTAGTAGTGAAATTGGGCGATGATGACCCGGCACTGCTATTGCTGAGTATGTTCAATCTATCAATGAACAGTGGTACTGTACTAGCTCAGCGGAAAGCCATACTCGTGCCGCGACAGAAATCAAGCTCTTTTCAAGCTTAAAAATTATCGTTCGATAAACGACATAACTATGTTATTAAAAATTACGGAGCGACATATCAGAGCTAAGATTTCCGAATTCATACTGTCCAGAAAACTAATAAACAACTCTTAACACGGCTTCATGAATAGTCAGTCTGACGTTACATGCCACCTGGAATCGTTAACCAATATAACTGCCTCGCATGTTGACTACTCTGCATGCGCACAAGGTCTTTGATGGGGTGCCGCATGAAAAAAAAACTAATAGCTAAAATGAAGTCCTACGGGATCGGTGAACCTCTGCTTTCTCGGCTCAGGTCATAGCTTGCAAATCGAACGCAAGCGGTACAAGTCTGAGCCTACACCTGTCAGCGGCGGTGCGATACAAGGAAGTGTCCTTGGGCCGCTATTGTTCTTGACATAGGTTAACGTTATCTTCGAGGTAGTAAAATTCGGTAAACCATACCTGTTTGCCGATGACATTAAAATCGCGTACTGGTTCCATCTGGATGCCTCCAATGATGCTGCCAACCTCCATGCGCTTGAAATCTGGTGATCGAAGTGGAAAATGTCCTGTTCTACTGACAAATGTTGTTCAATGTCTCAGAAGTGTGATTTGACTCATAGCGGATTAACCCTTGTTGTCAAACCACTTAATCTCTGCCGTACAGTGAAAGACCTCGGACTTGACTTGCATGAGCAAAGTCGTAGATGCCACCGCGAGAGCAAGTCAGAACATTGGTATGGCATTCAGGACTTTTCCCCTACATGAATTAATACTTCATTCTTATGAATCATTTGTTCAATAGTGTATGACAGCTCAAAAAGGCGCGATCGCATTACACTGGAACAAGTACAAAGGGAATTCACAAAGCGCCTCCTAAGTGCTTCTTCAAAGGTGGAATATGTTGTTGTGATAATAGCAAGCTTGATCCGCTCCGGTTAGGCCGCATGAAGCACAACCTAGTCATAGTCTTCAACATCTTGCACAACCTCAATAGGACATTAATGCAATCAACAGTCTACAACACACAAAACAAACAGAACTCAGTGGCGGAATGCAAGTCCAAGACATGTAGGTACGTCTGAGTCTGGAACAAGCAACCACCCGGTATACGTACCTGTGCTCTAGAGCACGAATTTCGAGAAAGCAACAACAAGTCTCTGTCTATACAGATCGTGATCAAACTGTGTGATTGTTTCATAAGAAGCCAAGCGTACGAGCAGGGTCTAGATTTCGTATGACCCAGTAAACATTTCATCATCATACTCGCTCTTGTGATCTAGCTGTTTTGTATGTGAAAGAACGAATAAAGACCATCCAACATCTTTTCGATCCAGTCAACTATTTACTATGTCTTCATTGTCTTTCCAAACTTCATTATCTAATCTGATATTCCCTCTTGATCCGCCTGTGATCAATGGTATGTAAAAATAAGCACTTATCCGATCATGTCGATACAGGACTGTCTCGCATCGTTGAAAATAAGTCTATATAGTTATTTATAAGTTGCTAAAAACGCACGCTTACAAACAGCCGGCCATCACGACAGACAATGGAGGAATTCGTGGAACAACTTCCTTACGGCATCTACCGTTGTGAGTGTGTATCATACGCAGCATAGACAGGCAGTTCAGTCAGGATGCGACAACAAACCAAACAGTAAGACGGGACCCTAAAAGCAAGTTAATGAAGAGGAAATGTAGACTAGCCAATAGAGCCTAAGCGACTGCATGGTATAGAGACAAACATAGCCACAGTTTAATGAATGATAGTTGTGATAGGAGCAGAAAACTTGGTGCACGAAAGAAACGCGTGACTAAAGGTCCATACACAAAAAACACCCCCAGCCGTGAGGATTCTGTTTGAATGATGAACTCAGTACACTGTCAGCGCCGGCTGCGAGGTTGGTAATATTCGCTCGATAGTTACCTGGGGAAGAAGTGGCTTGAGACGTAGGAGACACAAGACAACAGAAATGAACACGGTCAAAGCGACCTTGTGTGAGTAAATGTGCTCCACAGTGCCCTATCTCCCACCGTTGACGAAATGGTCTGATTCGCATGGGCAGTGAGACAATCGGACGGTTGCATAAAATACTGCGCCCCGTCTTTGAATTAATAGTCTGGCCCAAGCAGTTGTGGGAAACAGGTCCAGTTCGGGAACGTCACACTGCCGAATCCCGCAGGATTTTTATTGATGTGGGCAGCACGCATTCTAGAAAGACTGGAAACAATTCATGCATACAGAGAAAATCGGTCGTTCACCGGTGAACGGTTTATGCGGCGTAGGCAGACCAGTAAAATGGCAGCAGATTTGACGCTACAGTTTGGTAGCATCTATTAAGAACGACGTTGTCGCACCTATGAAGCTCTACTCTTCGTTGAGATTAGCTGAAACAGGGAACTAATTGCGACGTAGACAAATGTCAATCAAACAGCGGAGCAGCGAGAACCGACGATTATGCCTGGTGCATCCAATGACCCAGCCTGATTATTTCGTGTCTAATCGTCCAAATCTTGTCCGATTTGTCTATCGAATCCAACTATTCGTTGACATAAGATACCTCCAGCACAGGTATACGGCACACGTACGATCACGACCACAGGTAGTTGAATTTCAGCGAACGTATATCATACTGACCGGGATCTATCTGGAATGAAGTAGGCGGTAGTTAACCAATGAGTAGGTGTTGTGCTCCCAAAAACAGGGGTCATTAGTGGCATTCGTAATCTACACGAGTGCAACTGTGCTGATAACCTATCGTGTCTCACAACTGAGTTTGGGCGGAAGAGCCCACGATATCCCCGACCTACGATGAACACGGTAATGGGACAGAGTTTGTTTAACCGGTAGTCACTGCACAGTTCGATACGTGCGGCATTTAGAAAGTGCCAAGCAAAGTAAGACAGAATTGCGCAAATCATCGCATAACTTAAAGGTCCATGCTCCTCGCATCAAAGTGTGAGAGGTTAAATAGCCTTGGCAACAGTAACTAAAACGTAAGAGTAGAACGGAGGCAATGATAAACGGAGAGTTGCTCGGAAGGAACATATTAGAATTATCTAGTAGAAGAATTAGTAGTCAGTAATGAGAAACCAAAAAGAGTCTCGCAAGTGTCGGTTAACGTTCGTGCGATACTAGGTCGTCATTGGCAGTGATTTCTTTGAGGCGCGCGTACCGCTACTCCTTGGAGTGATCAATGTTCATTGTGGTAACCCGGATGGTAGCGAAGAGCTGGTTCGATGTAGTGACAAGGTGTAAGAGATTACACATAGTGTTCATTAGATTTAGTTAACCTCCGTATTCTGGATTGTACGGAGCTAATTCTGAAAGATATGATCTGAGAACGAGCACAGTGGGATGAGATATGATGCAGAAGATGACAAGGATCAGATTAACCATAACTATCTTCAAGGGAATGATATACACAGCACAAAACCGGCGGAGTACGCTACGAATGGTCGAAGAGGAAGCGCAACACAAACACTGGGAAGATCAATGAGGAAAGCATAAGGTAGAGAAGTTGACGAGGAAGACATGCATGAGGAAGAAAAAAATACCTGAGCTCACTTTGTCTAGTTTATCAACAGCAGAGCAAGTTGATGTGAAGCTTTCAGTTGGGACATCGCAAGCGAGAAAGAGTCCATCCAAAAGGCGTCTGTGATTAACTTTGATGACGAATTCACCGAGAGCCAATTCAGAGAGTACCTCATGTATTATGCGAATACACTCGACGTCCGCAAGCATCGGTCCGAAATCACCGGCTATGTCAAAATCCTGTGGATGAGCAGGAGGATGAACACCGTTTGAAGCGAATACGTGTGCAAAATGAATGATGCGTTCAACCAAGTAAAATTCAATCGCGAGTAACTGGGGATGGCAATCTAAAAGCCATGAAATCCGATCAGTTTAGATCAAAAGAAGCCAAAGAAGCCAAAAGTAATAGAGTAAAAATAGTGGGGATGGTCCGATCAATGGACACTAAACGTGAGATTCTTAGCCAAGATCCAGGGTTAACAGGGGAAATAAATACGTTCAACGGCACCCTCTTCTAGATACATCTGGGACTGTAACCGTAAACGGCCAAATTACGATCGCATTAATAGGAGGCTGGGCCGCAGCCCATTCTATGACGGATCCACTGAGACCAATGGTGTCAAGATCACCTATTCACCACAAAACGACAAGTAGTAATCCTATGAACCCTGCAATCGAAATGGTTACACTTGAAAGTTGAACGCCTTATTAACACCCATATCAAGTGTAGCCAGACTGACAAATCACTCCAGCACACGTCAGGTTGAACTTTCAAAGTACCGCCAATGTCTGATAGAAATAAATGTAAATGACCGGTGATTTCATAACCACCAGATCTCGATCTTATTTTCGTCATAGAGATACCGTCCATGACTGCTTCGGTTTTGGGCACATTCCCAGGCAGTGGCCACAACATTGATAAGTAGACTACTCCGCTAGCAACCGTACACTGAAGCAAACCAACGTAGCACAGACCTTTCTACGTGACTGGACCTTAACGTGGTGAGACAGTGCACTTCTTCGACCCATTGAGCAATACGGGGTGGTGCCCCCGGCCCCCCTTGAGGGCTACTCTTAACAGGTTTATCAATACTTTGAGGTTGGACAAACTCAGTTTCCTGGTCCTCCAGGTAGGAGGTTTAAAATGAGATTAAGTCCATTTATGTAAAAGTAAATCATTGCCATCTCCCTGCTGCCTTGCGGACAGGCTTGTAAGTCAAAGGCTTTGGCTGAGGACCCTAGACGTCCTCCTGTCTGAGCGCCCTAGCCGTATCTCAGCCAACATATAACCATGACTATTTTAACCTTGCGAGTAGACTATGTAGCCCAAGGTTCGCAGTGGTGTCGCAATAAGTCAACTCTCTAATTCGGCTGCGGAAAACGGATAGTACCAGGCCCATTGATAAAAAACATGGAATGTCCTACACTGTGCTCGTCTGCTACTATTTCCGCTTCTTACACTCATACAACTTCATCACACACCAATTGTTTTTAAGTTAACAACCTCAGTTATTCGTTACCTGACTCTTTTGTTCATGGATCTACCGGCGATTCCGGTTGCACGGCGAACCATATAGTTCAACCCGTGGGGCTCTTTCAACCCCGGTCCTCGTTCCGTATGGTGTACTTCAAGGTACGGACATTCAAGCAGGTTAGACAAGAAGCCGGTCTAGCGCGCACCCTGGAGTCCATCATTGTTGAAGTCTACTGCCTTTCTGAAACCCGATTGCAGGAACCCAGAACTCTGCTTACGCTGACCCCTCACACTAAACACGTAACCTTGTTTTACATGCGTCTTTCTGGAGACCCAGAAGAAGACTCAATAGGTTTGCTTGATGCAGATATAGCACTAGGTTGCAAGGCCGAGGCCGCACTGCGAAAATGGTTCTCGACTAACAACCGACTGTGCAGTTCGGCTTCGGGATTCACGCAGAATCAACAGGCGTCTCGAAGAGAGACGGAACTTGCTTGTGGTCTCCGCGTACGCTCCAAGTGACTGCAGTATTGGTTCGGTCAAGGACAACTTTTATCGAAAGCTGCATCAGCTATTGAGTAGAGCTAGGAAATCGGATGTCGTTGTCCTCGCTGAGGATTTCAATGCACGGGTTGGCCTCCTGTTACCATACGAACGCCATCTTGGTGGTCACCACGCGCTAGATGAGAACCGCTCGAATAACGGAGAGACTTCTCAGTGTGCGAAGACAACTATTTGTTTCTCTCGGGCACCGACTTCAGGCATACAAAGAAACCTTACGCAATTTGGCAACCCCTTCACCAACACAAGTGTGGTTTCAAATTGATCACATGGCAAGCAGCTTCAGATGCTGTGGCAGGATACGGGACTGCAGGTCTTCTTGGTCCATTTTCAGTGACATAGATCATGTGCTTGTCCGAGAGAAGATCTGCAAGCGTTTTGGGGGTTTCTAAAAACAAAGCATTGCAAAAGTGATGCGAACAGATTAACTGATTCCTCGGTTCATGCAAGCTATCAGTCCACATTGGCAGACGCACACAGTTGCAATTCACCTCAAGGGATTGTGTAACATGGGATTAGGATACAGGCGATCACCGCTTCCGGACAAACAAGCTGCAGCCTAGCCAGACGCCCCTTAAAGGCTTGGATCTCTGTTCGCTCTCTGGAGCTGTCCGACCACCGCAGAGATTTCGCGGCAGAATCAGATAACGAGCAACGCTGCTTTGTCAACCGACAGCTCAAACAAAGCCTGTACAACGATCGCCAGGCTTGGTGGTCTAAGCGTGCTTTGGAAATGAAAACCGCTGCCCTCCCTGGCAACACTCGCAAATTTTTCAATTTATTCGCTCCAGTGGCCTCGGGAAGCCTGGTGTGAGTGAAGTTATCTGCGGGGCTGCGGATGGATCTCCGATCACCAACCAGCAGACGCGCACACAAACGATAAGACATCACTCGTTTACTGTACCTCTTATTTGTGCATCATTCCATCTGGTAACCGCAGTGATGGCATTTGCTTTCCTATTCCTATCTCCGTCTATAGCTATTGTTGATGCCCACACTTCGGACCAAATTTATGACTGCCATTTAGGTTCACGGTTAAATGTTAACTAACCAATGACAGTCGTTCAACACTAGTGGAATTTGGCCGTTATTCTTACATTCAATCTATACTCGTGCACATTCGTAGTATTATTGCTCATGAGGGTTACTGTTTCGCCATCCAGTTTGTGGTAGTCCATACAAAGTGTGAACAAACGCCCATTCCCAACGCTGCAGTCATCAATCAACAACAACAGCAGCAGTACATCAGCCATTTGAACTGATGCTTCGCTGCCATACAACCAAGAGGACCTATGAAGTAAAGAATAAGAAGAGGATGAGAAGGGAGACACATGGAAACCTCAATGCCCTAAGCAAACATTCAGGGTCAAGGCGCCTACATCTTGTGTAGACAACATACCGTCACAAACAGCTGGCTATCGTGCAGATAAGGCATCATCGGCGAGATAGCTTCTTGCGGCTTTCACTGCCACGCATCATAATCAGCCATTACCCCGCAGATAACTCAGCAACAAACACACTTTAAACAGGCAATCCGAGTAGGAGACGGCAGCAGACGCGCCACTGATGTCGACTACGAGCCATGTCTTGTAAAGTCTCGAGCCAAGCACAATGGGAGTCACGTGGATGCCAGCCCGGAAGGCGAGACGGACCAACGGCACCCATCTTGATCGTCAGCGAGTTCATTTCCCGCTGCCAAGTCAACTTCTGTCCACCTCGAGCCTTGCGCCAACCTACAACTGGCAGACTAAACAATCAGCAGCAGCAGCAGCAGTAGCATCATCATCATCAGCACCATCATCATCATCATCAGCATCATCACTACACGTTAGCTGGAGGTGGAAAACACCTCAGCTATTGTGCCGTAATACAAAACATGAAAATAAACAGTGGCACGCCCGCTGAGTCCCCAGTAACGGATGGACATCGTTCCGGAGAGCTAACAGCTGGCTACCGTAAAAGAGAGTCATATTATGCCTAACGAGTGAGATCGTGATTGGAGAGGGATGCTAAGCAGGAGGGGGATGGACAAAGGAACTCACAACAGAAACGCCATTGGGACCGGCTCCAATCCATATCAGCGAGTGTGTCCAACCAAACGTGTTCACCGTCCTTAGGATCCCAGCCAAGCAGTCGGCACGCACCAACCGACGCCAACTTCGAAGTAATGGTTTTCATTTCTCTCGACCAAGTCATCGCTTGGCCACCGCTCCTCTTCTTCTATCCACACCCCCGGCGCGCAAACAATGCACCTCGCCGGAGTCCGTAAGTTGGCATGCGCAACACGTGGTCCAACCATCGGAGCCTGGTGTGTGATATAATGGTGCCGTGGTTCACTGGCTCTTCCTGCACCAAATACACGACGCCAAACACGCTCATTGTTCACGCAGTGCTCCTACCAGACATGGGCTAAGCTGTGAAGACAGCGGTGACCGAATGTGATGAGTCACTTTATATCTGTCGACCTGATGGGCCAGGTTTCATAACCATATAGGAGAGTTGAACGGACGGCTGCGTAACAAACTCCGCACTTCAAGGCGAGAGTAATGTCGCGTCTGCGCCACAGGTGGCGGAGACTGGCAAAAGCACCTCGAGCTTTTGCTATACGGTTCGTAACCTCATCTTCAATGCAACGGGTGCTAAAATAGCTGCCCGGGTAATTGAATTCCTGAACGACTTCTAGCAGATCACCACCAAGCGTTAGCGCAGGGTTGGGTCTCTGCCAATCTTGGAGAAGTACTTTGCATTTCGATGGAGCAAAGCATAGCCCAAAACGATTGACAGTCAGTGCTAATCGGTCCAGTGGTGCTTGAGATGTTTGGGAGCTGTCACAGATTAGGACAATATCGTCCGCGTACTCCAAGTTAAGAAGTCGCACGCCAGGAAGTAGCTCCACACCTAGGTCGTGTCCAGTGAACGTTGATTCCATGGCTACATCAAGTTAGAGAGGAAAGATGACAGCGAGCAACCTTGTCTTATACCGCTGATGATACTGAAAGGTGGCGACAGTCTGCCATAAACCCTAACTCTGGCCGAACTATGCGCTTTGATAATCTTTACGTATTTATCACGCACACCTTTCCTCAGCAGACAGTCCCAAAGGGCACATCGATCGACTGAGTGGAAGGCACCTTTTAGGTGAAAAAAACACGACAACGGTGGGCCGCCAATAAAAATGGCGGTGCTCCAACAATTGACGCAAGGT